TTGGGCTTGTTCAGCCTGGAGAAGAGAAGGCTGCGGGGAGACCTGATTACGGCCTTTCAATACCTAAAGGGGTCCTATAGGAAAGATGGGGAAAATCTTTTTAGTAGGGCCAGCTGTGACAGGACAAGGGGTAATGGTTTCAAACTAAACCAGGGTAGGTTTAGACTAGATATAAGGAAGAAATTGTTTACAATGAGGGTGGTGAAACACTGGAACAGGTTGCCCAGAGAGGTAGTGGAGGCCCCATCCCTGGAAGCATTCAAGGCCAGGTTGGACGGCGCTCTGAGCAACCTGATCTAGTTAGCGGTGTCCCTGCTCCTGCAGGGGGGTTGGACTAGATGACCTCTAGGGGTCCCTTCCAACCCAAAACATTCTATGATTCTATGATTTTTTTGGTCTTTTTTTAAAATTACAAATCATCTTTCCATGCAGATGGATGCAAATAGCCAACATGCGTCCAGAGGGCTCTGGGTGGACGCACACTGTAGACCATCAGAGGAGAAAGTTCCTCGTTACTTTAACTTTGGGGTAGGCTTGTAAATAATTTCTAGATTCTTCCAAACAAATGGTATATTCTGTACTTCCTGCCTTATTTTACAGCTGCTTTAAACTGTCAAAAAAGTGATAGACTACAGGATATAGAGACTCTCCTCTGTGGCCCGGAGCAGCATTTCTCACGTAATGCAATAAACTGTAGAAGAACTGATGGGAGTTTCCTAAACACCATTTATTTGAGTGGCTTTGCTGCAAATCCCACTGGAATGCTCAGGCCAACAGCCTTTATTATTTTCCTGCTCCTAATGATTGTTTTAATAATAACGTATATTACTTTTGTAGCTGCTTGTTTTCTTACCTGGTTTGTTGAGCTTTGGGTTCTTTCACTGAGCAGTTGTGCAGCCAAGGCTGGTACCTGATAAATTCCTTGGACGGGTAGGGTAGAGACCCTCGCTGGAGGTTTAACCCACCCCTCCATCTTCTCATAGGTAGACGACAACACGGTAGGCTTGGGGACGGAGGGAACCTGGTAGATGTTCTGTTGTCCTGCTGGCGGCTCCGCAGGGTCGCTGTGGGTGGAAGGGGGCAGCAGGGCAGCCTGAGAGGCGGGGAGGAGCTGGAGGCGGTGGGGGGGGGCCAGGCCCTGCCTGCCGTGGAGGGAGCATTTCCACCAGCCCTCGCTGCCAATGACATTTTGGTCCAGAACCGTCAGGATGTCTCCTTTGCGGAAGGCCAGCTCATCCGAGCACTCGGCTTTGTTGTCGTATAGTGCCTTTGCCAAGGTATTCTGGGGAGAGAAAAAAACATCGGCATTGTGCTGTTAGACCAGCAAAAATGTTCATTAGTTCCTGGTTTGGTGTTCATCTCCACCTTAATGTCAATTTAATTCAAGTCCAACCCATTTTCACATTAAACATTTCTCAGAGCATTGGTTTCAGAGAGTTGCAGCCTGTGTCTGCAATGCTCAGTGCAGTAAAGAAATAGATAATAATAATAATAATACTGCAAGATGTTTCTTTACCAGCTTTTCCCCCCCAAGGCTCTTGAAGAGCACTGCTGATGTTAATTACTTAGACTTATTACTTATGAACATCCCTCTATTAAAAATAGGCAGTTTTTCCCGCTGGCATTCTGTGAATTCTTTGTCGGAAGCCGCAGAGAAAACTCATCACCCATGCAAAAATAAAACTCATGCCTTCCTGCCTGCTGCCCAATTTATCTGAGGACTTCAACTGCACGTGAAAAAGGCTAATTATTTCTTACCTCAAAAAAGAAGAAAAAAGAAAAAACCCAACCTTGCTTATTTTCCTTTAAACTTTTTCTTTTCTCAGAGCCTTATGAAGACAGACCCCTCAGTAATGCCAGCACTAAGGGGGTTAATAGGTGCCCAGGGGTAACACCAGTGGCAAAAGCACTGCTGGAGAGCAGTGGTGGGCTGCGGTACTTGTGAAGACCCAGACTCCAGCTAACTGCGTCCGTGTCCACCCCAGACCAGAGAGGTGGCTCCCACCGATTCAGAGCATCCCAGGCTACTTAATTGTGTGACAGAGGGGAAAACCTCCCCACGCACACAGTAGTGCCACCCGACAAACGGCTCTGCCGGCTGGCCAG